TTTCTTGGACTGTTTCCACTCTCTTGTCATCAGCTTTTTTTTCAGCAGATATCCCATGGCTCTGGCATCTCTAACATCTTCGGGGCTCCAAGACAGCTTCAACTTTATAGCTTCTTGCTCCAGTGTCTGGGATCCACACACAGTCTTTTGGGCTTCACAAAATGCTTGGGTCATTTCTATAGCTCTGCTTTCTGTAGCACTCTAGGCTCTGGTTGAGTCTATTTCACTGCTGCTGTCCTTGGTGATCATCCCATAGTACTGGCTGGGGTTTTTCTGCTGCAACTAGGCTTCATGAATAGGCTGTCATCAGCTCCCTCTATGATGCCAAACCTCAGCTTCTTTGCATGAGTCCTCCACTCCTGGGCTGGAAACTGCAATTGAAGCTGCCAGCACCTTCACCAATGGCCTTCCCCGGATTCTTAACGCCAGTCCTCAGCTGCTCTTCATGACTCCTTCATATCTTCAAAACTAGTACCACCTGGGTAACTCTCTCATGATTACGAAATCCAGCTACTAGCATGAGTTACAATGTTGATTTTCTCTGTAACACTGTTTCTTTGTGCTCTCAGAATACACTTCCCAGACCACTTCATCTCAGTGATGTTTGTTTCTTCTTAATCTTTATCGATTTCTTAGCTCCATATTACCATTTTAGCATCATCGTCCCAGTAATCTTTTCTATTCTTGACTCTAAAGCCAGAGCCACATGGCCAAAGCTGTCAAGTTCTGCTGATTTCCAGGGACGGAACATGGCCCCTTGTTCTACCACATTATCACCAGCTTTCTGTTTTCCAACTCCTTCATTCCCGAAGCTTGGCTGTCCTGGAACTTGCTCTGTAGATCTTCTGTGAACTCAGAGATCTACATGCCTCTGTCTCCTTAGTTCTGAGATTAAAGGTGTGAACCATCATGCCTGAACATAAGCTGTTTTTTTTAGTTGATTCTTGCTTTGTATAGTGCTGGCTTTGAACTTAAGAGATCTGCTTGCTTGTCTCCAGGAATTAGAGCTGTGTACTTCCATGCCTGGGCTAAACTTCTGATGGCCATGATTCCTCAAGATCTGGGTCAAAAACCTGTGTCTTCCAGCCGCAAGATTTGGATCACAGGTGTGCCCCCCATTTATTGATTGTACTTCATTCTAGATTAAAAGGCCAAATGAAAACAATAACCAGGTTACAATAATGCTTAAATATAACTATCTGTTCTTCAATTGCAAAAGCGTAAGTTTAGCTAGGTGGGATCTTGCCCCAAGTTCACCACTCCCTCAATTCCTTAATTTAACTTCATTCCACTTCCTGGTGCCCCTTTATTCTTTAAACCATACATTTTGTATTTTTCCTTTTTGTGCTTGCTACGTTTCATAAAAATGTTCTTCACAGGAATGAACTTTAGTAACCACACAACAGGATTTATACCAGGCTAGTTTCAGACTTTCTTTGTCAATGCAATTAATCTAAATCTCTTCACATTATCCTCAGGCATAGTCTTTGGACAATGGCCAAAGTAGCCACATTCTTCACCAAAATATCACAAAACAGTCATTGGCCACATGTAAAAATTCTTCTTCTCTGAAACCTCTAGAGACAGGCTTCCACAGTTCAAATAAGTCTCAACAAGAAAGTCTTCCATATTCCTACTAGGACAGTCCATTAAGCCCCACTTAAAGCATTCCACTGCTTTTCAAATCCAAAGTCCCGAAATCCACATTCTTCCAAACAAAAGCATGGCCAGGCCTATCATAGCAGTACAATGGTCCCTAGGACCAACTTCTGCCTTAGTTAAGGCTTCCATTGCTGTGAAAAGACAAGAGGACCAAGGCAACTCTTATAAAACACAGCATTTAATTTGAGATAGTTCATGGGTTAGGAGTTTTAGTCCATTATCATCATGGGAAGAAGTACAGCAGTGTCTAGGCAGGCATGGCTCTAGAAGAGCTGAGCATTCTATATCTTCATTCAAAGGGAGGCAGAAGCAGATTGTCCTCAGGCAGCTAGCAAGAAGGTCACAATGTCCACCCCCATAGTGGCACATCTCCTCCATCATGGTCATACCTTCTAATAGTGCCACTCTCTGGGCCAAGCATATTCAAACCACCACACATAGTAATCAAAAGACAGATGGATTCCTGAGTGAAGTTGGTATCTTCCCACTCATCATTTGGTAGCAAATTAGTGCAACATGGAGTCGATTTTGTTCCTACTCATCATAACCATTTAACCAGAGCCATAACCAAAATATACTTTATTTTGAGTCTCCTGTGGTATTTAGAGGTATTTACATTTAATTTTGTTCTTACATTATTGTGGGATTATAAGCAATAATAGTCCAAAGATTTATACACAGCAATAAGAATTTGAGTCACATATCTATCATTATTATTTAAGTTCTTATTAGAGACATATTTTATATCAAATCAATTTAGATGGTAAGTAATTTTCCCATAGTCACTTGGCTAATAGCTATGTGTATGTTGCATCAAATCATTTTACCAATCTATATGGCAAAACCAATTAAAACAGTAGGGCAAGAAAAACATTTTTATTTAAAAAATGTTTCCATAATTGAGTATTAACTTACTCAAGAACATATTAGTTATTCTTATACCTAATAAAATATTTCCAAAGCAATAGTCATTGCTGGCCACATAATTGAATAACAGACCTCCTGCTTTCCAACTTTTGCAACACATGCCACCTACAGTTTCCCCTTCGCACCGTGCATGCCTCCAATAGATCTCACAAAGCATCCCCTGATGCCCTTCCCTTCTCATGCCATAGCTGTACCCAAGTTCCATTCTCAACCACTTGCCGTGCCTGCCAGAAGACCAGGGAGGAAACCCATGGATTTTCTCCAATTTCTGTTAGCATAGACCCTATTCCAAGTTAATATCCAAATTAATAAAAATAGGAAAAGAAAATGGGGATATAACAGACACCAAGAATATCCAGAGAATAAGAACATATTTTAGAAATTTGTACTTCACCAAATTGAAAAATCTAAAAGAAGCAGATCATTTCTTCCATAGGTACCCCTTACCAAAGTTAAATCAGGATCTGATAAACAATTGAAATGGATCTGGTGGTAGTTTGAATAAGTATGGCTCCCATATATTCATATGTTCTAATACTTAACCAAAAGGAGTGGCACTATTAGGAGGTATGACCTTATTGGAGAAGATGTGGCCTGCCTAGATGAACTATGTTGCTGAAGGGGGCACTTTGAGGTCTTAAGTGTTCAAGCTATGTCCAGTATGAAACACATCTTGTCTCTTCCTAAATGTCTTTGGATTAAGATGTAGATCGCTCAACACCTCCAGCCCCATTTCTGCCTGCACTCGGCCATGCTTCCCACCATGATGATAATGGACTTAACTTCTGAAGCTGTAAGCCAGCCCCAATTAAATGTTTTCCTTTATAAGAACTGCCTTGTTCATGGTGACTTTTCAAGGATGTAAACCCTAACTAAGACAAAAGTTGATACTGAAGGCAGCCAAGAGGAGACTGGATGTGTTTGTTACTGAGTGTAGCTCAAGCATTTAAGAATCCAAAGACATATCTCCATAGTGACACATTTTCTCTAACAAGGTCACCCTTCTTAGAATAAAGCTACACCTCCCAATAGTACCACTCCCTATGGCCAAACATTCAAACACATGAATCTATGGGGGACATACCTATTCAAACCAACACATTCCACTCCCTGGTCCCCATAGCTTATAGCCATAACATAACACAAAATGCATTAGTCTAGTTTCACAAGTCCCCATAGTCTAGTACAACCTCCACATTGTTTAAAAGTCAAAAATTCAGTCTCTTCTGAAATTCATGCAATATCTTAAGTGTCGTCCCCTATAAAATCAATATCAAAAAGCCAATCATATACTTCCAACATATCATGACATAAGATACATTACCATTCCAAAACATAGGGAAGTTATGAAAATACTGGACCAAAGCAAGACCGAAAACCAGCTGGGCAAACTCCAAACTCTGCATCTCTATACCTGATGTCAAAGTCTTATTTAGATCTCCAATTCCTCTCAGCTTCATTGACGACAGTACACTTCTTTCTCTTGGGCTGATTTTACTCCTTCTTAGCAGCTGTCCTCAATGGGTATTCCATAGCTCTGGCATCTCTAACATTTTGATCTTCAAGACCATCCAGGCTTCACCTTCACAGCTTCAAGCAGTAGCCTCTTCAGGCCTCCATGCAGGGACACCCCTGCCATCCATCTAACCTCAGCAACTTTTCTTAGTCACTGAGGGATATTTCTTGACTCTAAAGCCAGAACCACTTGGGTGAAGCTACCAAATTCTGCTACTTGCTGTGTCTGGAACATGACTCTCTTGTTTAATTACATCTTCATCTTTCTGATGCCCAGGGTCTACACAACTTCAAATGTGTTGGGCACTCTCACATTAATAATTAATCAAAAATATGTCCCACAGTCTTGACTATTGGTCAGTCTCATGGAGGTGTTTTCTCAGCTGAGGCTCTCTCTCCTTCATGATTCTAGTTTTTATATAAAAAATAAGAATATTGAAAATAAATATAAAACCAACAATGCACTGTGGAATACATTTTTCTTTATATATTTCTTGTATGTATAAAGTTTGTAATTCAAGCTAGAATTAATTGTTCAAGCTAAAAATATATACTAGAATATAATATGTATTTCTTAAATGAGAACTTGTTATCCATGTTTGGGGATTCACATGCTTCAAGTAATTATGAAAGTCAAAAATTTAAAGGAGAGAAGTAAAAACAACAGTTTAAGAAAAAGTTCATGGTGAAAATATGCTTCCTTCTGAACCGTTTGATGAGGTTACTTAGTGGTGCTGCGAAACACAAAATATCCTCTGTATCCATCCTCTTTGTGAAGAGAGTAATAAATAATATGCTGGAAAGTACAGACCGTTTCCATGGCAGCATTGGCTGCTAATGCTCCTCCCACATCCTCTAAGGAATTCTTTCCTTTGATCACTGTGTTTGTTTGGCAGGTGCTGTCTCAGGTCACTCTTCTTCTGAGAGTCTTCTTCATAATCCTGACCTTGACATCCATTGGTTTCCTTCTGGATCAAAAGTAAGACATGACTTTTTCACACTACTATAAAATATCAGTATAACATGGACCTGTATAATTTAGTTTTCAAACCTTAGTGTTGTGTACCATTGTTTAAAAATGAGTTAAAGATATGTTTTCCTTCTAAGCCATTTTTTATTGTTTGAAGCAAAACACAGTGGACTACTGAAGTGAACCTCACACGTCTTACATTTTCGACATGTATTTGTTGATATTTTATTGTTTTGCCATAGCTCACTACTGTTTTAATTAAACAATAAATTGATAAATCAGATTTTCCTTAAAAGATATATTTTGTCTATTATTTAAAGACTATGTTCAAAGTACTTTAGAGACATGCCACTCTATTATGTTAAATATTTTTTTGAAAATCAAATGTAAATTTTATTGCTATTTAATTATGACATAAGCACATGGAGACAGTATTTAAAGCTAATGGATATTAATGTCATTATTATTATTTGTCATCAATGTTATTTCAGACCCATGGCAGCTATTGTAGAAACTCTCTGGTGCCTGTTGTTCCTAACCCTGTACAGATTTGGTCATTTAAAGCCTCTTATCCCATCTTTATCATTTGCATTTGAGGTAAGGCATTTGTTAAATTATTTAATTTATTCATGAAATGATGTTTTCTCTCTATTGAATTTTTGCCCACTATCTGCAGCTAAGTTTTTCTGTGCAGTATATCTTGAATTACTATTTGTATAACTTTCAGATCATTAATATTGGTAAGTCATGGTGTTCTTATCCCAAAATCTTGGTTGATGTAATTAAGCTATAGAGATTGGACAAAATATATTGCAGAAGATATTGACGAAAACTGGCATGCATTGTAGATTATCAAGAAATTAGTTGTAACAGTGGTTTTACAATGATACGGGCATCTAATTCTACTAAAGAAAGCTTTGAAAACAAAAAGAAGTGTTTGATGCTTTAAAATCAGCTATAACAGAAATAATCATATGTAAAAGTAACTTTTCTTCACCAGATGTAACTGTTGTCTCAGAGACTTACTGCTGAATAAACTCACTCTTTTTAGCTCTTTCTGAAAACTCTCCCTGGCCTGTTCAACTCAGCTCTTCTGGCTCAAACTTCTCTCCATTCTGCTTGATTCAAACTGACTTCTCTCAGCATCTCACAGAATTGTTCTTCTTGGCATCTAACTCTGGCAATCTGTTCTAATCTTCTGGCTCCTTCTCATTCTCCATCTCTTTCTGTGTTCATCTACAACCAGTCTCTGTAAAATTATTAAATTATTCTGGTAAAACTGCCTTCTCCCTCTCCCCCCGCCATTACTCTTTTAAGTAGCATCTCTTTCCTGTGTGTTCTCATGAGAGTCGGGCATATTTTATCCCTGACTTATTCTGTCAAATCTTTCTCTGATCTGTCACTTTGTCTGACCCTCAATTAGATGTCATTTGCAAACATAGCTGCTTCCTTCTACAAACTAACCTTACTTAACCTATATTGCTTGGGGTTAAAGGTGTGTACTGAGGACATCTCTGTATTCCAGCTAGAAGAGAAAAAGGTGTGTGATGTGTCTTCATTCTAGCTGGATCACACAGATCTTGGAAGTCTTTGGATGTCATCCCTTGACAGAGCAGCCATCTTACTGGATTAAAAATCCTTTATAATTATATATGAAAGAAAAATGGGATTTTTTAAATAAAAGATATGTTTTGATATAAGTGATAGCTAAGATTGATCTTTCAGAGATTCTTTAGAATTATTTATTATTCTGTAATCAGGATACTTACACAATATCTGACTCATTATTTGTGTTCATCAGAGTATTTTAAAAATGTTAAGCTTTATTTCTGAACAATATGAGACTAATTTATGAGACTAATCAACATGTTGGTTTATTTATGTGAAAGCATAAATCCTAACCTTCCCCTATTAGCAAAGGATAGTGTCTTTTTTTTTTCTGTTACTGTGATAAAAAAATGACCAAAAACAGAGTGGAGGAGTTTATTTCATTTTATGTTTCCAGGTTACTGTTCATCACTGTGGGAAGTCAGAGCAGGAGCTAGAGACAGTATTGAAGCAGAAACTAGACGCTATAAAGGGATGTTTCTACCTGGCTTGCTTCCCAGGGCTATCTCTCTTACATAACTCAGGTCAACCTACCTAGAGATCTTACCACCCACAGTGGTCTAGTCCCTTCTACATTAGTTAATAGAGTGCTTCACAGGCAGGTCGGCATTTCTTTAATTGAGTCTTCTTCTTCCTCAGGGTGTCAGATTGACAACTAAAATTAGCTATGGCAGTTGGATTTTTGCTACTTTGTGGGTTCTTTCTTTTATCCTTCTCCACCCCTTTTCTTTTACCAGTTAAAATTCCTAACACTTGATATGAGGGAAAAAAATCAGAGAGGAAAGGAAAGAGCTCCCTAAATAAATTCAGGGGTTGGCAAGAGGGAGACATTATCATTTGATTACTTCCTGCTTATTAAGGGTGTTGAGTTTCTTGGGGCAACTTTGATCAACACTGTCAGATATCTCCTCCTCCTCCTCCTCCTCCTCCTCCTCCTCCTCCTCCTCCTCCTCCTTCTTCTTCTTCTTCTTCTTCTTCTTCTTCTTCGTGTACAAATAGTTAACAAACCATGACCAATAGTAACCAACAACAATCAACAACCCACCAATTGGGTCTGGCATTTATATACTCTCTGAAAAATTTTCAGTTCCAATCATCACACATTTGCAGAAACTACCTGCAGTGGCAAAACCATCCTTCTGCTAGAGCACACGGCAAATCATAGTCAGTTGCTGTGGACAATCCCTGCTGTGAAGCAGGTCCATCTTTATCATCTTCTACCACAGGAATGAAAATAAAGGCATATTTTTAATAATATATCTGTGTTTTTAAAAGAAATCAAAACTTCAAAATTGTCACTACTAACTACCACATAAAGCAACGCAAAATTATACCTTGTAATGATTATAAATTTGATAAAATGTTGTAATAAGTTTGACATAGTAAAGCCATATATACTTTGACCAACTTCTTCATTTATATGAATTTATGCTATAAGAATGATATGCTAATATGCATGGGTTGATGCAAATGTAATGGAACTCCTGGTATTATCACCCATAATGATGCAACAGTGAGAATCATGTGATGACACTCACAGGTGACTGTTAAGCAATTGTGTCTTATTCATAAGATAAAATCTAGATCTAGAATATAAAAATAGGGAATCAAAATAAATATAGATTAGTTTCAAAATTATAAATAATACATTTGAAATGTGCAATGCAGTAGAAGATTTCAAATAAGTCAATTAAGGTGCTTTATTTGTTCTTAATATGTTTCAGAAAGTAAAGGAGAGCATAACATATAGTTTACTGTGTAAAACCAAGGTGAATTTTCTGGTTAGAAGGCAGAAAAAATAAAATCTAAGTATCAAAATCTTGTTCCATTATATGCACAGCTTTGGACTTGACCTGAATGGGGCAATGAGGGTATAAGGAAAGGACAGACACAGAAAAGCTGAGGTAAAGTCTAGCATGCACTCTGGTGGGCATATACCAGAAGCCCAGGAATATGACACAATTATTATCCAATACTGACAAAGAAGACGGGTTTAGTATATACAAGAAATGAGGAAGAAATGGGCTAGCTAATATTGATAAGGAGTCTTATAAAGACTTTATTGGAGAAAACTGATTTTCCATCTCCCATCAAGTTTAAGTGACAGTTCAATTGTTAACCTTTACTCCAGTGGCTAACCATTCATTCATTCATTTTTAATATAACAAAATAAAATATAATAAGATAAAACAAAATGGAGGGATCCATTACTCGACTGCCTATGTTGCAGAGGATTGCCTTAACTGGCATCAATGGGAGAGGAGACCCTTGGTCCTGTGGGGATGTTCGAGGACCCAGCACAGGGGAATGGTAGGATGTAAGGAGGGAGTGGGTGGGTGGGTAGAGCCCCCTCATTAAAGCAGGGGTTGTGGGGATGGGATCAGGGGTTTGCAGAGGGGAAACCAGAAAGAGGGGTAACATTTGAAATGTAAATAAATAAAAATAACCAATAAAAAATAAAACAAAACTATCACATTGAAGCTGAATAAGACAGACCAACAGAAGGTAAAGAGCCCAAGAGAAGGTACAAGAATCAGAGACTCACTTTTTTGTACACTGAAGAATTTCATAAAAACATTAAACTGCCAAACATAATACAAGCACAGAGAATGTGGAACAGACTCAGTCAAGCCCATGCATACTGCTTCTTCTCTGTGAGATCAGATGTGCTTTGCTCATATTAATTTACAGGGTCTTGTTTTCTTTATGTTCTTGATCCCTTCGGGCACTTACACTCATTCTACAGCATTTGCTATGGGGTTCCCTGAACACTGAAGGGAGGTATTTAATGCAGACATCCTTAAATAGGCTAAATGGTACAAGGTCTGTGAATCTTGCATACATTTGCCTATAAGTCTATATTTGTTCTCATTTGCTGAAGGAGGAAGCATTTTTATGACAGCTGAGCAAGACACTGAAATATGAATATAGCAGGATGGAAGCATTGGTTTGATCTTCTGGAGTGAGTCTTAAATCAAATAAATTATTGGTTGGTTGCTCTTACAATGTTTGTGCTGCCTCTTCCCTGGTATATCTTGCAGGGAGTACATCATTGTAGGTAAAAGCTTTGTGGCTGGCTTGGTTTTTACATTTCTCTTTTGAAAGTATATAAGGTTATGGTACTGTACCAATAAACACTGAAACATAGGGGTGAAGGTTCTATGTAGTCACAATCACCAGTTCAATATTTCTGTGTTCAATGGGATGTGTATATTCTCAGCAATGGCCATGCTGTCAGTTTGTAGAAAGCAATCCCTAGTCTTGACAATAGCCTGGGTTGTTTGGAGATTCCTGTGGGGCACCTATGGCCAACAAGTTAATTAGATATAACCCAATCCTAATACTGTAAACTTCTTTTGGTGACAATATATGACCAAATGGAGATGTGCTTCTTCCATTACTTGGTGATTCCACTTCAAACACTTTCATATATGTACATATTTTAGGAGGTTTCTACTGAAGTAGGCTTTCATACTATCCCATAAGTGCTACTCAGTTTTCGTTTTCCACCATATTCTGTCCCAAATTCCCCTCTCCTCCCCCCCAGATGCTTCTCCCATTCTAGCCTTGGAACATCCATCCATAACTGTCTATTCTATTTCCCTTTCCTAATAAGATGAAAAACATTAAATATATTTAGGCGTTGGACAATTCTATGCCTTAGAATCTATGATTGTATCTACCACAGTAGTGAAAACCTCTTCTGCTTTTAAAAATAAATATATGTGTGTTCTATTGAAAATATACTTATTTCATATGTTATATTCTAATTATGTTTTCCCTCAGATTCTCCCAGCATCATCCTCACTTTGCCATCCACCCAAGTTCACACCCCTTTGTTTGCTCATGAGAAAGTGTCACCATGTGATTTTTTTTTTTAGGAAAAAAATGAGTGCAACTGAAAAATAATAATCCTAAGGGAGGAAAGTGTGGCATGCATTCACTGACATGTGGATATTTTCTGTGATGTCAATGATAAACAAGCTACA